TGAACGATTACATGCCAATAAATTGAACAACCTAGGTGAAATGGACGAATTCCTAGAGTCACACAGTCTCCCAAAATTAAACTGGGAAAAGTCAGACAACCTGAACAGTCCAATGACTCAGGAAATTGAAGTGGTAATCAATAAACTCCCAGCAAACAAATGCCCAGGTCCAGACAACTTCACAAGACAGTTTTACCAACCACTCAAAGAACTAGCAGCTACTCTCCTCAAACTATTTCAAAAATTCAAGAAGGAAGATTTCCAAGCTCTTTTTATGAGACCAACATAATCCTAATTCCAAAACCAGACAAAGACACTACAAAGAAAGAAAATTACAGGCCAATATTCCTGATGAACACTGATGCCAAAATCCTCAACAAAATATTAGCAAATCAGACTCAGTAAAACGTTAAAAAAATTATTCACCACGACCAAGTAGGAATCATCCCAGGGATGCAAGGCTGGTACAATATTCACAAATCAATAAATGTAACAGACCACATTAACAAAATGAAAGATAAAAACATATAATCATATCAATAAATGCTGAAAAAGCATTTGACAAAATCCCATTTCTGATAAAACCACTCAGCAAAGTGAGAATAGAGGGATATGTCGACATAATAAAGGCCATATAAGAAAAATCTAAGCCAACATCATACTCAGTGGGCAAAAACTAAAAGCATTTCCCTTACAACAAGAACAAGACAAGGATGTCCACTTTCACCACTCTTATTTAACAGAGTACTGGAAGTGTTAGCCACAGTAATCAGACAAGAAAAATAAAAGGGATCCAAATTGGCAAGGAAGAAATGAAACTCATTATTTGCAGGTGACATGATATTGTATATAGAAAATCCTCAAGACTCCATCAAAAAACCTACTAGATTTAATAAATGAATTTGGCAAAGTAGCAGAATACAAGATTAACATCCATAAATCAATAGAATTCTTATACACCAATAATGAATATCTAGAAAGGGAAACTTAAAAAAAAAAATCCCACTTAACATTGCAACAATAAAAATTAAATATCTAGGAATAAACTTAATCAAGGAGGAAAAAGACCTGTTCTCAGAAAAGTACAGGACATTGAAAAAAGAAATAGAGGAAGATATAAAAAAGTGGAAACATATACCATGTTCATGGATTGGACAAATCAACATTAAAATGTCCATACCACCAAAAGCAATCTATGGATTCAATGCAATCCCTATTAGAATACCAATAACACATTTCACAGATCTAGAACACTCAAAAATTTTATATGGAACCATAAAAGACCCCAAATAGCCAAAGCAATCTTAAAAAAGAAGAACAAAGTAGAAGGGATCACAGTACCAAATATCAGGTTATACTACAAAGCCATCGTAATTAAAACAGCCTGATACTAGCACAAAAATAGGCATATATATCAGTGGAACAGAACAGAGAATCTAGAAATCAACCCAAGACATTATGCTCAATTAATATTTGAACAAAGGAGGCAAGAGCCTACAATGGAGAAAGGACAGTCTCTTTAATAAATGGTGTTGGAAGAATTAGACAGATATGTGCAAAAAAAAATGAAATTAGAACAGCAACTTAACACCATACACAAGAATAAACTCAAAATGAATAAAAGACTTAAATGCAAGTCATGAAACCATAAAAATTCCAGAAGAAAAGACAGGCAGCAAAATTTCAGATATCACACGTCACACCAAAACATTGCGTAGGGCAAGAGAAACAAAGGAAAAATAAATAAATGGGACTACATCAAACTAAAAAGCTTCTGCATGGCAAAAGAAACTAACATCAAAATGAAAAGGGAAACCACTCTTTGGGAGAACATATTTGCCAAAAATACATCGGATAAGGGTTAACATCCAAAAGATATAAAGTACTCATATAGCTCAACAAAAGGAAGATAAACAATCCAATTAAAAAATGGGTAAAGGACCTAAATAGACACTTCTCCAAAAAGGACATACATAAGGCCCAGAGACATATGAAAAAATACTCGCCCTGGCCAGTTTGGCTCAGCGGTTAGAGCGTTGGCCTGCGGTCTGGAGAGACCCGGGTTCGGTTCCCGCTAAGGGCACGTACTTCGGTTGCAGTTTGTCCCCGGCCCTGGTTGGTCGTGCGGGTGGCAGCCACTCGATGTGTCCCTTCACGTCGATGTTTCTCCCTCTCTCTCTCTCCCTCCCTCCCACGCTATCTGTACAAAAAAATGGAAAAATATCCTCGGGTAAGGATAAAAAAAAAAATACTCAATGTCACTCATCATCACAAAGATGCAAATTAACATAACTATGAGGTATCACCTCATACTTGCCAGAATGGCTGCCATCAACAAATCATCAAACAACAAGTGTTGGTGAGGGTGTGGAGAAAAGGGGACTCTAGCACACTGCTGATGGGAATGCAGCCACTATGGAAAATAGGGTATTTCCTCAAAAAATTAAAAATAGAACTGCCATTTGACCCAATGATCCCACTTCTTGGGATATATACTAAGAAGCCTGAAACACCAATCAGAAAGAAAATATGCACCCCTATGTTTATAACAGTGCTATTTACAATAGCTAAGATCTGGAAACAGCCCAAGTGCCCATCAGTAGATGAGTGGATAAAAAAGCTGTGGTACATATACACAACACAGCACTAGGCAGCTGTAAGAAAGAAAGATCTCTTATCCTTTGAGACGACATGGAGGGACCTGCAGAGTATTATGCTGAGCGAAGTAAGCTAGTTGGAAAAAGACAAGTACCACTTATTTAAGGAACATCATGAACAAAATAAGCTGACAATCAAAATAGATCCAGAGACATGGAAGTAGGGAAGAGACTGATAAACTTTAGAGGAAAGGGGGGTGGAGTGGGAAGAGATAAACCAAAGAACTTATTTGTGTAAATGCATAACCAATGAACACACACAATAATATGGGGAAGGCAGGAAGGGGGTGGAAGTAGAGAAGAGGGGGTTAATGGTGGGGAGAACATCTGTAATACTCTCAACAATAAAGATTTTTTTAAAAAAGAAAGAAGGAAAACATTACTTCACATGGAGGCACCAGCTATTAAATAGAGCAGAGGGTGTGAATCAAAAGAAATAGCTTTTGGTGCAGCCACTGGTTAAAAAAAAAACAACCCCATGAAGACAAACTAGGCATTCTTTCCTTCTGAGGTCTTCTGAAGGCCCATGAGCAACACAGAACACAAATACTTGTGGATGGAAAGAAAATAAGGCAGTATATTGGTAAATATATATGCTGATTCCAGCTGAATAATGAAAAGACCAGCTATTAACTTTTTTCTCAAATTCCAAGCACATCTTATACCCTACCCTAAATAGGTGAATGCATTAATTTCCCCCCAAAACGAACGCTGTCAAAACCAATAGGTATGCCCTGGCCAGTTTGGCTCAGCGGTTAGAGCGTCGGCCTGTGGTCCGGAGAGACCCGGGTTCGGTTCCCGCTAAGGGCACGTACTTCGGTTGCAGTTTGTCCCCGGCCCTGGTCGGTCGTGTGGGTGGCAGCCACTCGATGTGTCCCTTCACGTCGATGTTTCTCTCTCTCTCTCCCTCCCACTCTATCTGTACAAAAAATGGAAAAATATCTTCGGGTGAGGATAAAAAAAAAAAAACCAATAGGTATAATTGATATATACAAAATAAATCATGGCCCTGGCCGGTTTTGTTCAGTGGTTAGAGCGTCAGCCTGTGGCCCAGAGAGACCCAGGTTCGGTTCCCGCTAAGGGCGCATATCTCGGTTGCAGTTTGTCCCCGGCCCTGGTTGGTCGTGCAGGTGACAGCCACTCGATATGTCCCTTTCACATCAATGTTTCTCTTTCTCTCTCTCTCTCTCTCTCTCTCTCTCTCCCACTCTATCTGAACAAACAAATGTCCTCAGGTGAGGAAATAAATAAATAAATAAATAAGCTGAAATAATATACAACTCCTCAGAATGGCATAAAAAATTCCTTCATAATATGCCCCTAATATTCATTCTAGTCTAATTTTTCCAGCCTCTCAATGCACCTCCATCATGAGCTATTTGAAGTACACTTCTGTCTTTGCTCATGGCTATTTCCCCATCTCAAAAGAATGCCCCTTCCCTCTGCCATCCAAACCCTGTCCTAAGTTAAGACCTGTCTCCAGTCCACCCTCTCTACCAGATTTCCCTAAACTACTATGATTTCCTTTCCATTCTGGTTTCCCCTGAAGCTAATGAGGTATCTCAAAAATTAAAGTAGTATGTTCCCAGTTTGAACTTATAAATACCTTAATCATTAAATACTACCTTCTGACATTTTCTACTCAATTTTTCATGTTTGTTTTGAATCCTAAGAGATAAGCAACTTGAGAGTAGAAACTATATATGTAAACAATCTCTTTATATAAAATTAGCATTCATTTGTGGTAAACGGTCTGAATACATTTAACGTATTTGGGCTGATGGTCAAATTTGTTCGGCCAGCGGGAAAGCCAAGAGCTGAGTCTATGTCAGAGAAGCCCCATCATTTGGAACCAGGCGTCTCGGCCATCACAGGCACACCTCAAAATAAGTGTGTTCAAGTCTCTACAGATATATCTACCGCAGGACTGTAAGAACCCGGTTATCCTGAGACCCAAGAAAGAAAGAAAACAAGTCAAGTCAACAAATCAACATACTTAACAACGCACACAGCAGGGCACTGTGATCATCATTTAAAATGTATATGAGCCCAAACAGACCACTTAGGTAATATAGTCAAGACAAAATGTTATCATTTGATACTTTAGAGTATTTATGGTTTTATGTATCCTGTATACAACAAGAAAAAAAACAGTATGACACTTTTCTTCACCTTCTTATTTTCGTCATCTTACAGCTTCTTCTATGCCCAAAGCGCCATCTTAAATGATATTAGAAACCACTCTATGGAATATGAGTTCCAAATACATTAGTGTTCCTAAAACATGACCAAAAGCTAAGGCTTTTACATCAAACAACATTTCATAAGAATCAAAATTCTTACCATCATCTTTTCGAAAAGTTCCAAGACTTCATTCTCTGACCGTGGCTTCAGAAGGTTTTCCGCCACCTCTGAAGAACAATCACTGCTCGCAAACGCAGTTTTCAGGTTGGAAAGTGGAGGCCTCTCTTTCTTGCTCCCTGGAATTTTTATGCTGGCAAATTTGTCCAGCTACAAAGAAAGAATAATATAGCACCTATGTAAATATTTCCTTCTGAATATTTATCTACTCCCCAAAACAAATAAATGGTCAATCACATTATCAATCTGATTTTATCAGAAGGCATTAAGCACTGGAATCTTTAAAATAAATAAATGTGTGTGTGTGTGTGTGTGTGTGTGTGTAAAAAGTTTGTAGTAACTATTCTGTCTAAAGCAGAAGAGAAATCAGAAAACCTCAAAAGACTCCTTCTAATCTTAAAATTATAGAATTGAGATTCTAATGTCAGGTGACCTTTGCTTTACAGATTATCAATCTAAGCAGTTTCACAAAAGTAATTTAGCTAATTTAGTAGTTGGCAAACAAACTATTACTCAGTTTCCTGGCCCTCAACCCACTGGTCCAGAGCCCTTTTCACAGTGCATACTATACTTGGGAGGGTGTGAATTGGTGTGATTTAGGAATTTTAAGAATTCTACTTATACCTCTATGGTTTGTTGGCCTAATAAACACACTTCTCTTTACTGGGGCTGGTCTGTATTTGAACTCCAGGCATAACTACAGAGTAGGGTGTCTACAGCCTCAAGGAATAAAACCGAATTTTTGTTTTTTGGATCTCTTCTACAATTAGATCATGGAATAGTTTTGCTGATATTTGAAATGTATATTAGTTTGCAAAGCTAATTATTTATTTATTTTGAATTTTACAAATTCTATTTCTCACAAAGAACTCAGATTCATACAATGTTTCAAATGATAAGAGGCGAAGTCTTAACTATTGAAATTAGAACTATACTTAAAAGCACAATGATTCTGTGAACTGTTCACCATAGCTGTGTACATTAAGCTCCTGGTATTGCCATAATATGGAGAGTACACAGACTGCCATATTGATTACGGCAGTCACTAGCCACACGTAGCTATTTTGACACAGATTAAATTAAAAATCCAGTTCCTTAGCTGCACTAGCCACGTAGCAAGTGTTCAAGAGCCGCATGTGGCTAGTGGCTCCCATATAGGTCAAAGCACATATAGAACATTTCTAGCCCAGCCGGTGTGGCTCACTGGTTGAGCATCGACCCATGCACCAAGAGGTTGCCAGTTCAATTCCCGGTCAGGACACATGCCCAGGTGGTGGGCCCAATCCCCAGTGCAGAGCATGCAGGAGGCGGCCAGTCAGTGTTCTCTCTCATCGATATTTCTTTCTCTCTCTCTCTCTCTCTCTCTCTCTCTCTCTCCCCCCCCCCACTTCCTCTATCTAAAAATCAATAAAGGAAAAAAAAAATTTTTTATTAAAAACATTTCTATCATCACAGAAATGAAGTATGAAAAATACAATATTTAATGACCCATTAAAGAAATATGGACCTGAAATTCTCAGCTTAAAAGAACAAGTCACTTCACTAACAAAACAATGTCTTCAAATAATGATACAAAGATAGTAATGCTTATCTTTCAAAATAGGTCTTTACATGAAGATAATGCCTAGGAAAAATACTAAATACTATACTCACACATGGCCCATGTAACATGACCTAAACATTAAAGCACTAAGAACATGACAGCTTCCAGTAGGATTTAGATAGTCACAAGACACCACTGCTCTCACCCTGACGACCAAAACAAGCCACAAAAACTACAAAACTGTCATAGCTGTTGACTTCAACCCATCAGGGAGCTGAGGACACAAAACCTCTAACTATCAAGAAGTAAAAGGCTGCTTTCATCACTGACAAACAGCTGAAAAGTAGTTAAGGATAAAGAAAAACCAAGTTTTTAATGAACTACTATTGCCAGGAGCAGGGGTACCGGCACGAGAGACTAGAATTCCAAGGAGCTCCAATCACAAAGTCCCAGCCAGGGAGCAAGTCTGCACCCCACTACCAGCTCCTCCCCTTATCTCCATGGGGTAGCATGCCAGTGGGTGGGGAGGGTAGGAAAGCTGAACAAGATGCTCCCTGAGGCATGAGAGGTCTATCCCAGTGGAAAGCTGCCCTCGGGAGTCTCTTGCTCAAACATATGACTTGACAGGAATCCCAGTAACACATTCTAGGCCTTTAGAACATACAGGGTAGCTGTCATCATGTCAGAGGGAGATTTCCTAAAGAAACAGAGCCAGAAATGGAACTGAAACAAACACAAAAAAAACCTCTACCATAACCCTACAAATGGGCATCAGGACTTTAATCCAAAATTACCTATGTTCTGAAAGCTAGTAGTTCAGTTGCAAAGCCAAAAAAACAAATAGCTAGAATCTCGTTACTGCTCGGATCCCAAGCCCGTAAATCATTTGAGGCCACAAATGAGCTGAATAAAAGTAAAGCAGCAAGGAAGCCAAACCCAGCTCCACCAGAGAGCGCACTGACTCAGCCCCATTCTAACAAGCTAAAAGAAGGGCATGACCTTTCTTTGGAAGCAAATATTATTTAATCCCTACTATAATTTTTTTTAAATGGCCACTATACAATCAAATATTGCGAGACGCACAAAGGTCAAGAAAACGTGTCCCCTAGTCAAAAGAAGCAGACCCAGAGATGGCCCAGATGGTGGAATAACCAGACAGACTATTTAAAATAAGATTTATAAAAATAACAAAGGATATAAAGGATAAAGGATTTAATGAAAAGAGTGGACACCATGCATGAGAGATGGGGAATTTCAGCAAGGTCATGGAAGCTTACTTTTAATGTCTTTTAGAATAAAAAATGTATCAGAAGTGAAGAATTCATTTGATGGGCTTAATAGAACCTAAATATTGCTAAGGAAAGAACTGGCGAACCTAAACACAGATCAAGAAAAATATCAAAACTGAAACAAAGAGAAAAAAAGGAAAGAAAGAACATAGCAACAAAGTTCTGTGATACAATATGAAATATTGTAACACAAGTGTAATGGGGCCCAGAAGACAGAGTGAGAAGTGGTACAGAAAACATATTTTAGGAGGTTGGTTCTAATTGATTAAAAAATAATAATAAAAGAGCTACCTAGGCACCTCCTAGTCAAACTGTTGAAAATTAAAAATACTTAATATTTTTTCCTTATTAAAGGAAAATAAAGGGCAAATCATAAAAATGCAGGCAGAGAAATGAAGACATTATGTGTACATGAGAAAAATGATACAAATGATAACTCATTTCTCACCAGGAACAATGGCGACAAAAGACAATGGAATAGCATCTTTAAAGTACCCAAACAAAAATACTGTCATCCTGAGATTTTATGACCAGTGAGAATACCTTTCATAAATAGAAGCAAAATAAAGACATTTTCAGACACACAAAAGTTGAGAGAATCGGTCTCCAGCAGACCTATATTACAAAAATGTCAAAAGAAGTTTTCGAGGTCAACAAGAAAATACCAAACGGAATTCCAGATTTACAAAATGAAATGAAGAACCTCGGAGGGGTCTTCTGTTTGATGTTGGCAATACAAAAAAAAAATGAGCTATTTAGGACATAAATAACTAACAACCCAGTAAAGGAGACAAGCACATACACAGGTAATTATATAGCTATATAGAAAACACAGCAAGTATACAATGTACTATACAGTAGTGGCAGAGAAAAGGGACCTCTAACTCAGCAAAATAAACATGCTCTACTTTGGCATAACCCAGAAACATAAAATTGTCTTCCGGTCAATATATTTCCAGGAGTTACTGTCCTTATGTACATCGGTACCCCCAACTCTTCATATTCGTTTCAAAAAACCAGGAGACACCAAAAAACCTGTTTTTAAGACGTGAGACTGGTTACTCCACCTGTCTTCTGAATTACCACTTCACTGTCATCACTTAAGTAACATCAATCCCTCAGCGTAAAATCTATGCTGACTCCTCTTCACATACCACAAAAGTGTAACTTGATTAATATGCTTAACTTATGACATGAAATTAAGCAAAACATCATTAATACAACATCAATATTATAAATGTAAACATGTCAATGAACAGGAATAGTAAGCTTAAGCAATTCACAAATTGATTTTGTGATTCCAAAACTTAATGGTTCCATCAGTGGTAGAAGAAATAAAATTTTTAGCTTCCACCAAAAAAACAAAAACAACCTTTCTTTAAAAAAAAATTGTTAAATGTCACAGAAATGACAATGGCTAATATTTGCTGAGTCTCTTCTATATGCTGGGTACTGTGCTAAGAGCTTGAGCTGCAGCATCAGGCTGAAAGCATCTGTGTCCTCCTTACAATGAGGAAACTGCATGTCTAAATAATAAAGGACAAGCTCCAAACCATTTATACATTAAAATTTCATAGTAGTTGATATATAAAATAGCATAAAGGGGGGTGGGGGGGAGGGGGAATCAACCTATTATGTTTCTACTAGAATTGCATTTGTATCAATAAACAATATCAGAATTTATATAACAATAATAAAATAGAATTAGCATACCTCCCCCATAGGCTTGGCACTTAAACTCTGGGGAAGGCTGGATTTTATCCAAGTGGAAAAACAAATTTGCACATTACCACTAGCATAGCTAGCTACAGGCAAGATAGGATAAATTAGCATATCCTTCTTCTAGCTTCTACATCTTCAAAGGTCCAAATAGTAAAACGAGATACAAAAGATCAGTGTTTCATAATTTCATTACAATGCTTTTATCTATTTTCCCTGATTTGAAGGCATTAAAGAGAAAATAAGGAAGGAGCCATAGGAGAAAAATAAATATAATTCTTCCTCCTATACTAGAACAGTAAATTGAATTTGTTGAACACCTCAGGCTTAAAGTAAGTGTTCCCAGGTATGTAATGCTCTATTGAGCACTACAGGTAGATGTTGTGTAATCAAGACACTCCTACAAAGCTAGGTGCAAAGTGAATTTTACTATCAAATCATTTAAAATGTTCTAAAAAATTTTTTGAAAGGATGACACTGTCTCCACTTATAAATGAAAAAAAAATCATTAATTTATGTTTCATAGAACTGCACATACTATTTGCTTAAAGCAAGGCACAATAGAACATAAAAGCAAACTTTTAAAATACTGTTGTACG